CCTGTCCTACCACCCCTGAGCTGTGGTAGTTTATGGCTAGTTCTCTCTGCTTAGAGTTAGAACTCCTCCACGGGATACTGGTGACTGGAAAAAGACTGTATGCGCTCTTTCTGGCCAACTCTTCTCTACTTCAGGGGGAAGACCTGGATGTCCCAAAGCCTTCTGTTTTTGCAATAGCAGGGGGAAACATTGACAGCCACCCCAGAGAAGAGGAGCCTCACTCCATATCTAGTACATTCAGATTACCTGGGCCATGGTCTGGTCCGTAGTATAAAAATGTAAGAGTACCCAGACCCTGAATAGCTTCCTAGCTCTAGAACCAGAACTAGTTAAATTACTGACAATGACAATAGGACTTCACTGCTGACCACTATAAAAAAGAATTTGGTTGGAAAAGACCTTTAAGATAATCAAATCCAACTGAAAACCTAACACTGCCAAGTCCAACTGAAATCCTAACGCTGCCAAGTCCACCACAAAAGGCTGAGAAACCTCGGTGTGTTTAGCCTGGAGAAGAGAAAACTGAGAGGGGATATTATCAATGCTTATAAATACCTAAGGGGCAGGTGTCGAGAGGATGGGGCCAGACTCTCTTCAGTGGTGCTCAGCAACAGGACAAGGGGCAATGGGCATGAACTGGAACACAGGAAGTTCCATCTGAAGATGAGGAAAAACTTCTTGACTTTTTTTCACCTGCTCTAGGTAAACCTGCTTTGGCAGGGGATTGGACTCGATGATCTCCAGAGGTCCCTTGCAACCCCGACCATTCTGTGATTCTGTGAATAGAAATCCTTTTCTAGAGGGCCTTTATAAGGGCCAGCAGTATGCAGCTCTTCCTATAGAGGTTACAGAAGGAGGCTGTGCAGTGTAGAAGCCAACAGTAGCAAGCAAATAACTTCTATTAGTGCACTGAGATTTTTTAGGTAGTTTTTACCTTATATCACTGTTCTGGCATGGTTGCTATTAAACACACGTTATAAAATAGGGGTAAATACCATGTTTGGGTTTATTGGTACCAAGTAATTTGAGCTCCTGGCATACTTGCAGCCATCATATGATCCACCTGTTTATGCAAGGAGATGGTGACTCATTGCAACCAAAATAAAAACTGTCCCAGGAAGATTTTCTTCTCTTGATCTATAATTATTGATGGAAAGATGCAACTTGGTAATAGCATGTAGCAGTATCTTAAGCAGATCTGTACTGTATGATGTTGGTCAAATATGTTTTGAAAACAGGATCGTAAAGTTCTGTGTTCATTGCTTCCTATTTATTCTTAGGGAAATGCTCTAGTTTAAAAGAAGTGGGGATTTTTATTGCTAATTCTGTCAACCAGGTTTTGGGAGTTCACAAGAATAAGTGCCCCATTTTGGCTTTGCAGAGGAAACAAGTGAAAAACAATCGCAGTTTGTTCTTGTCAACAGGTAGAAATCTGAATGCAGACACAGCTGAGACTATAGAGTAAGACAATACTGGAGTCTTATTCTTTGCTCTCAATATGAGGCCACAGGAAGAATGGTGTGAAAAAAAGCCAGCAAACCTTTATATCCCTTAGTCCCAGATCAGTATGATTTTGGCTGGATCCTTGTGCCAGTCATCTAGAATGTCAGCAAGGTCATGAGAGCAACCAAAGTCAAGCAGCAAGTTGGAATTTTGAAGTGATCCAAAGCAGAATCAAATGTGTGACCTGAGACTGCTTTTCTCCTTTCCTAAGGGCTTGCCCCAGGCAGTGAATGGATTGGGATGGTATTACCACAATTTTAAAAGAGACTACAGAAAAGCAGCTGAACACTGGTTAATTGCTGAAGAACTGGGAAATCCAGATGCATCGTACAACCTTGGTGTCCTTTATTTAGATGGGATTTACCCTGGAGTACCTGGTAGAAATCAAGTGAGTAAATATTTAGTAGTACTATTTCTTACATTAGGGCCCAGTTTAGAAGGTTTTTCTTCATTCTTGAGACTGCTGTGTCCACTCTGAGTCTGATTTTTGATACCTTTTGTCACAAAGAAGAGTGTTACTGGCTAGTTAGTCAGATTGCTGAAAGAGAACGAGAGAGAGAGAGAGAGAGAGATGTTACTCAAATATCTCAGTCATGCTTAATGTGCATGTGTTTGTGTTGCTTTAATTTAGAAACAAAGCAGGTGCAGTTTAGCTCCAGGGACTGCCTCTACTTTCTTCCTTCCAGTGACACCAGTCAGGATAGTGTGCGCTCTCACATCGTGTGATCCTTTCGGTTTCTCTCAGTTTTGGATTGGAGAGGATATAGGGAAAGCATACTTTCTGAGAGATGAAAGCAGCAGAACCTTGTCCCTGAGCTTGTAATCAGCTATGCTACATTCGCATAGCTTCAGTGAACCTCAGAACAGCAATAAAACACCTTCGAGCTAGAGTTCCAGATGTAACTGTTTAATACAGTCTTGATAAACTGCACTATTTTTATTTTCTGTGATGTGGTCCATTTATTTAATTTTGCACATGTCGGTGAGAAAAGTTATTTTCCTCTAATAGGAAGGATCTACTTTGGTTATATTTCTTTTAATTAACTTTGCAAAAAATGCTCTGTGTAAGTAGTTCACGTCCGACAGCACAAACGTAGGCTGTAAGAAATGCAAGCAGACCTTGTGTGTGGAGCTAAAAGATGTTTCCAGTGTGGCCTTTGAGTTCTGAAATCTAGATATACTCCAGACTGTGAGCATTTCTGCTGCCACAGCAGCGGTGCTCACCAACACATGCATTTTATAAACATGTTCTGTTTCTGCAAGGACACATTTCAGAGTGGACTGATTGTAAGAGAACACTTAAATGTGCCCAGGTTTCTTTATCCACCAGAGCCATGGGAAAGAAGTACTTTGTAATGGCTGTCACAGATACTCTGAAGTCCATGCTTAATCACAGGAAACATCTATCAATGGTTAAAAATTTCCTGAAATAAATTACTTCAGGCTGTATGGTGCTTTTCTTTACATTACAGATTACTGTTTCTGAGTGTAAAACATGGAGAGTCACACAGCCTCACACAGCCCTCCAGCTTCTCCAGCCCTGGCCCTGACTACTCAGCCTGTGTTATCTTTTACGAGCCAGTTTCAGGGGCTTGAGCCCTACGTCTGTGCACTGCTGGACATAGTGAGCATTGCCACTGCTCCCCAGCCTTCACTTAAGCATTGCCAGTGCAAAAGTCCTGTTATGTCTCACTTCTCCAGGATCCCTTATCCATCTCCGTACCAGTGAATAACTAATTTTGCTTTTGTCAATGCAGACTGGACTTGTATGCTACAAGATGTTAGTTACATATTTAGATACTTTTCTATTTGGCTTTTAATGTATTACCAGACTTTGTGTTTTTAAAAACCCTTTTCCAGCCTAAACTATTAAAAAAGTTAGAAGAAAGGAATTCAGTTCTCCTAAGTACATTAAAAGAAGTTAAACTGGCTTGCCCTCATTAGCCAATTGCCTCTCTTAATTCACTTGATGATATGAGTCCCAGGAAAAAAACCTCAATAAATGTTAATAATGCAGAGTTGCTAATTGTGTCTTGTTTCTTCATAGACAGTTGCTGCACGCTACTTCTATAAAGCTGCCCAAGGAGGACATATAGAAGGGACTTTACGGTGTTCTCTGTACTACATCACAGGAAATATGGAGGACTTCCCTCGGGATCCAGAAAAAGCTGTGATGTAAGGAGTGAAACTATTTGTTATGGAAGAATGTTTTTCTGGTGGGATTATTTTGATTATTGGTGATTTTTTTTAAGTCTGTAGTGTAAGCATATTGTACTTCATAGTGCTTACCTCCTTGACAAAAGGTTCTTCTGCAGTAAAGTTTGATTAACACAAATATGTGTATTATTTAAATGATCAGTAGATTTTGAGAGATGCTGAGTACTTTTAGTACTTTTTTTTCTGGAACAACTCAGAGAGGTTGTATCTAACAAAGCAATGACTGTGAAATCCCATAGTTTGCCTTATGGAAGAAGTCAGAAGGTGATCCAATATCCTTCTGTGTCCTTTGAGTCAATGTGAGTTGGGATAACTTTATTGGAGCACAGCTGTTCCTTTCTTATTGTTTGCTCTTTTCTACAGCTGGGCAAAACACATTGCAGAGAAGAACGGCTACTTAGGTCACGTCATCAGAAAAGCTCTCAATGCTTATCTGGAACTTTCATGGTATGTTTGTTCTTTTCTCTTAAAGTTCATTTTCTATTATTTTAACTTACTTCATAGCATGATAAAATAACTAATATTGGGCCATCACCTCAAAAAAAACCCCACAAATAGCAGCACCACTGAAATCAGTAGAAAAGCACCCATTGACATAAAAGGGAGGAGTTGACCTGAAGCATAATTCAACTGTTCTGACAGAATCAAGTGAGAAAGAGGGAGTTTGTAGAGTGAAATAGTGTTGTATCTGCTCTCTGTGATTTTCATCCCATAGTGCTGTAGCATGCAGTGCGCGCTGGATTAGCCAGAGGAACACCTTTCACTTCTAATATTCTTTCTATTCCAAAAACCACACTTTGCCTTTTCTCTTCTGTGTAATTCCATGTCATGAAAGCTCAGGCTACTAGATTAGATTTGTTCTTTTTCTGTATGTAGTTAATATTATCTTTTCTGTAAAGTATAATAGGACGCCACAATATCCAGTGAGCCAACCAAGGGGTTTCAAAATAACCTCCAGGTTAATGCTCCATTTTTGCAGCAACCTATAGGCATAAGCATGAGGTGCTGTACATGCAGGCACCAGACTGTCATACATGCTTAAGAAAATGGCTTGTTTAGTCCTGCAGCCTTCTTCTGCTAGTACTTAGTTAGTGCTTCAGGCTTAGGAGATCTGCAGGAATCTGTCAGTGGACTCTATTGGAGTAACCCATTCCTAGAAAAAATTTATTCAATCCGTTACAGACATTTCCCCTGAGACTTGACCTCACTTTTCAACACTGAAAGACTCTCAGTTCATATTTTTATAGCAATGTTCTGATGCACAAGCCTGTGACTCTACCCTGCTCGCTCTGCATACAGTTGCCTGAAAGTCCTGTGCACGTGACAGGTAGAGAGAGCATTGAGATCCCAGGAGGTCTGTTCTGAACAGCTAGCAGGAAGAATCTGCTGGAGTCCCACCTGAGGTGCCAGTACTGGGAGTGTATGGATACTCACTTATAAATACAGGTCCTAGTCATCTCTGGTTTTAGGAGTGTGTTAATGTTGAAATCTTTGCTTCTGAATACTTCTTTGTGTATGTTGCACACGTGTAAATTGTTAAACTGCCAAGCAGGCCAAGTAGTGCATGTTCCTCAGTCACTGGTATTAGCTGCCACGTGTTCTACACACCTGTTGGTCATGGTAGTTTGATCTTCAGAGACTGATTTAAAGGCCTTAAATGTAGCTTCTTTTCTGAATTGCCCTTTGAGACTTAAGGATCAGAAGAACAAACTTCCCAGCTTAGGTATCCTGAATTCCTTCTGTGGTACCAGGTGTCCATTGTCCCAGATGTTTTTACAGAGCAAGCACAGGAAAGAATTTGTAGCCATGCAGAAGCAGTTGCAAAATAGGAGGTTACACCTGCTAATTCTGTATGGATGACTGCTTTCACAATTTCATTTAAAGTTTCTTTGCTTAAGCACCTACTCTTGAAGTCAAATGCGTATTTAACCATATTTCCTTCCAGTTAAACAAACCATTGAACTCTGACACTTGCCATGGTTTTAGCTTTGTGTTGTGGAGAAAATTACTAGAAGCATGACTCTTTAATAAGAAGCTTTAGCAGGAAAAAAGCACACCCAGTGTTTCTTAAATCTTGCACTTTTGAAACCAAACATATTATTTTAAAGACTTCCTCTTAATTTTGAATACTTGGTCTTTATAATATTGAGGAGATGAGTGACAGAGAACATGAAAGAGATGGTCCCCTCTGGAATCATGAGCAGTGCTGTACCACTGTACTGCAATGCTGAATTGCTATACTGCAAATGTGGAATTAGCTTTTATGACTTGCCTTACAGTCAGTGAGTGTCTAGAGTCCGTTGAGGGACTGAGGCTCTTATTTTATTCACACATTCAGATATAATGAGAGACACTTACTGTTCCAAAAATCCCATAGTATAGAAGGACAAGACAAACAAGTCATAGAAATAAAAGGGTAAAGCATATCAAAGAAGTACTCAGATGAATGTTTGACAGATATACACACAGCTAAGTTAACCGTGGGGTTTTTTTAAGTGGAGGAGGTAAGAGTCTTTCAAGAATGTTTTATCTGAAACATTTAACTAGATAATTGGGCTTGATATCAATTCAGCTTTATAATCAGTCTTGCACTTAGAGTAAATGCAGACTGGAGCCAATCTAACTTCAATGCAAGAGAGTACCCTGCAGATTCTTGAGATCCAGCATGGCTTGTTACACCAAGCATTGCCAGTAGATGTAGCCGTTGCATGCATTTGCCAGCCTCTTGCTTTTCAACCTTATACCAAAATTTTGCTCTTAAGTGATTTTATAAATTTATTTAGTGGGGGTTTTTTCACTATAGTAAAATGTATGTTATTTTTGTTAGGTTTTTTACTAATTTATTTTACCTAACATTAGGCATGAAGCTCTGCTGCATTATGTTTTAGCGGCTGAAACTGGGATTGAAGTGTCACAGTCAAATTTAGCACACATCTGTGAAGAAAGACCAGTAAGTAAATGTATTCACAATGCATTATCCTAAAAGGAACACTTGTTAGTAATAATGTGATCCTCATCTCTTGTCTGTGATATGAATAGATCAATTATTTTCTTTCCAGGACCTAGCAAGGAAATATCTAGCAACTGATTGTGTTTGGAGATACTATAATTTCTCTGTTTCTCAAGTCAATGCACCATCATTTGGTATGTATAAGGAATTATTTCTGAATTTTAATTTTACCTTTTTTCAATTTAAAGACCTACATTTGTTACAATTTCTATATGAGTGACAAAGTTAAGAAAAGAGTAATCCCTGCTTTTTAGTGTTTTGATAGGAATATCAGAGAGAACAAAGTTATTTTTAGTGTTGTGTTTCAGCACAGCTTTTCTGAGAATTTCCTTTTCCTGGCAAAAAATGGATAAAATTTTAATAAAATACAAAAAAAACCCAAAAAAAAACCAACCCTAAGCCCTGAGAAGAGGCTTCATATTTAGGAGCCTGAACATTTGACTCAAGGTTTAAGAAAGAAAGATAGCAGTAGACTTTAGGAGTTCATGCTGTTTAGTTTATCAAAGAGGAAATCCAAAAGCAAATATACTTCCATATCATAATTGAGTCATGAGAAACTAATGAAGACTAAAGGATTCCTTATCTAATTTATGATGAGTTTTTCTGTTAGGGTACAGAGTTTATCAACATTGGCATGGCTTACCTTGGGGAACTAAAGGATTCTCTGTTGGGTGGGGGGAAAAAAGTTTATTTACATATAAAATACATTCCTCCAGCCTTAAATTTTACTGTATCTGTGACTTTAGTGACTAAGTCATTTTGGTGCCTTTGAAAGAGCTATACAACGTTTGAAAACATTGGTCTAATTGTCTCACAAAGAGGTGTAAGTGCTTTGTAACAAACACATGGAAAAGTGAAGTGTAAAAATAATTCAAGCTATTAATTTAAATACACAGCAGTGTGGAAACTGAGTACCACGTTGATACAGCCTGATGCCACAGGAGCTGACAAACCCAGTTAGCTTTTGTGAGGAGTTTGTAGACACCTTAGCAAGATGCAGTTTGGGAGATCCACTGGTACAATCTTACATTAGAGAAGCTTCTGAAGGTCAGACTCATGGGGTGAGACTGTGATTCCATTCAAGGAAAGGAGAGAAGACTTCCTGGGTTCAACAAGGGAAGGATTTTATTACTTTATTTCTTCTTCACATGGGTAACATAAGGGGAGTTTTATCTCAGACCCCTCTCTGCAGTACTGCAGGATTGAATCCCCAGTTGTACGGCCTGGGAATGAGAGTCTAACCCTGGCAGAGAGATTTCCAGGGCTATGTTATTGGTGCAACACAGGGTGACCTCAGGGCCACTGCCTACTGCAGGAGTGCTCTCTGGGCCAGGGCTGGAATGATGCAGTTGATGTGGTTGAGGGGAACTCTCTTCTTGATGATTCACTATAGCATTCAAGGCCTTCCACTCTGCATCTTTGCCAGCCCATCCACATAGGCTTTCTGCCTTTGCTGTTGGGTCGTGACGGACTTGCTTCCTGGAAGAACCCTGCTATAGTCCACTGTAAAAACAGGTGGGATTTCTGGGCAGCTGCCACAGACAGGTGCACAAGGCAAGGTGTAGAAGTGTTACAAACCATTTGGGGAAAGTTGAGGTTAGATAAGCGTAGACATGGTCATGGAAGTTTTTAAACTCTTTATCTTAGATGAGTGCGATGTCATGCTTGCTCCTGTCTGGGTCAGTGCCTGCTCTGTTGGCGCATTTCATTACTGTGCAATATCACGGAAAAGATACTTGTAAAATATTTGTTTGGCATTGCTTCCTTCTAGACCAGGAAAATTCTATACCTACCATTGTCCTGGGTCAGGTTGGATTTGAAACTAATGAAATTATTGTCAGCAAAGTTTTGAAACTTTTGGGGTGGGTTCAGCCACCATAGTGACAGGTACAGAACAAACACTTAGACAGCATGTTTTTAAATCTCATCAAGTTAATAGGGCTAACCTGAATAGTAAGGCTACAGGTAGCCCAAAGACAGATTCAGCAAGTAAAGAAGGAATGCAGTATAAAGTCTCTAAGTCTCAGTTTTTGTAAAAGTAGCAATATCATTCACTAAATTCATTAGAAAGAAACCATGACAAATTTTGTCCAGGATAAATATTTTTGGTGGACAGACTGATGCAAAGTAGCCAAAGAGGCAATCAGAGAGAGTAGCCTTTTTTCAAAATGATGCTTTAAATATAATTACTATTAACTTCTCCATCACATTAATAATTGGTTAATTCTCTTTCTACAAATACTCTAAATGATCTGCTACTGATTTCTCCCGCAGCTTATTTGAAGATGGGCGATTTCTACTACTATGGTTACCAGAACCAGTCTAAAGACCTTGAGCTCTCAATGCGGATGTATGCACAGGCTGCCTTAGAGGGAGATTCACAGGTGGGTCTGCAGTTGGAATGTGTTTATAAAACATCAGAGTTTAGAACAATCTGAGGATTTATCTGAGATTGGTTATTCTGCTTGGCTACATCTGCACCAAAGAAACCTGCTAGAATAAGTTATAATTATTTCAAAATACCTAGTGAGTCAGTAGTTGCTGTTTCATGACAATAGAAGGTAAAGCTCGCATAGATGGACAGTCCTAGAATTGGGCTGTTTTGAAAGCTAGAGGTGAATGGCCTGGTTCAGTGCTACCTTACCTTGGCACAACTGATTCTGTTGTGACCTTGGTATTTTTGCTACTGCAAGAGGAAGAATTAATAGACTGCTGGACTGTATTCCAGTCCTATCCTCTGCTCTTTTAGGATATAAACAAGATGACTGGCCCATTTCCCTTGGTATATTGTGTGAATCCTAGGGGGAATTTTGTTCAGTCCGACAACAAAGGCTTCATCTTAAAGTGCTTTATAATGAAAAGATACACCACATCACATTACCAAAGACATGCAGTGTTTCAGCACCGAGTTTCCTGTCCTCAGACCTTCCTGAAGTGTCCTGGGTACAATACTCTGTTCTCCCTGACCCTATGACAATGCCCCCAGACAGTATCTTGTATGTGAATTTATTAGAGGTAGCATAGTTGGGTTCTGTCTTGAGGATACTGAGACAAAACATTACTGCTGAAGTAGCAAAGGAAAGAAGAGATGCATGAACGTTTACTTTAAATTATAAAAGCCAAACTGATGGGAAATCCTGTAATACATCTCATGTGTGTTCATCTTCATGGCTCTGAAGAGACATAGGGTTGCCTAAGACTTGTCCAAGAAGGTAAAACTGTAAGATTAAGGACTTAAATTGTCTGGAGGAAATTTCTACTCTGAATTTCACTGTTCAGATTGCTGTTCATCTATAGAACTAGGTGGAGGGGAATCAAACAGTAACAGGACAGGAATCCTTTTCTGTTTTCAGTGTATATTTCCCTGGTAGATAAAAGATTACAGTTTAATACTGTGGCTGTGTTTACAGAGCAACTAAAAGTGAGAAAACTCAGATCTTTTTCCAAATGGTTTCTAAGAAAACAGTGTTACAACAGATGAATGCTAATTCCTTTACATTTTCAGTATTTACCTGGCTATAGGGTTAGGAGAGAAGGTTCTCATTATTATTCAGTGAAGATCACATTATACTAAATTAATTTTTAGAAGACAGTTATAATTATTTAGATACCTGATGCTTACACTAGACCTTAAATATACATATGAAAAATTAATGGTTAAAAAGTGTGTATGCTTCTTTATTGTTAGGGTTTCTTTAATTTGGCCCTTGTCATAGAAGAGGGCAACTCCATACCTTCCTACATTCTGGATTACTTGGAAATTGATCAGGCATTGCATTCTAGTAATGTGTCACTTCTTCAGGAACTTTATTACAGGTGGGTCTTTTTTCCCTTTAATCAGCATCTTCTGTTTTTCCATGTGAGTAGCATTTACTTTGGGGAACAGCAACTCCTGTAATTATTAACTTTGTTCACTTGTATGATTTAAGGCAGGTTAAGGTCAACATGCTTGAAATGTGTAAATTACCTAAGTGTATGTCAGTTTATGCCTGTTAAAGGGACCTGATTATATGTGGTTACTTGAAATAGCAGGAGCTGGATTTAATGATCCAGGAGGTCTTTTCCAATTTGATACATTTAAGTTCTTAAGTTAGGTACTAACAATTTGTATACAATCCAAAACAATCTTTTAATGATAAATATAGTATAATTTAATACAGAACTTAAAAGTATGTAACTGGGATAATAGCAGTCCTTCCTATTTATTCTGCAAAGATACTCCAGCCTGGCACAGATGTCATGGCACAGAATATTAGATTTGTGAGAAGGTTACAGGACTGAACTGCCTGTGCTAGCACTGTTCATGCACAAACCACCTAGAGAGCTCTGGTTCCAGTACAGAACTTCAGTTTCCTTTACCTGGGTAAAGCAACATGTGTTGGAAAGCACAGTGGGAATGGGAAGCTTGCACAGTGTTTGGGGAATTTGTGTAATTGCCTTTCAGATATTTAAAGAAGGAGAAGCTAACAGTTAATACATGAGGCTGTGAACCAAGAATGAGTGGTTTATCTGCTGTTTTGCTACTGAGTGCTGTGTGACCCAAAAAAAGTGGAGATGGTATCAACATTAAAACCTAATTTGTCAATTCACCAACAATCTGCTGAAATTGTTCTTCACTGCAGTTAGCCTGAACTTGTACCCTAAATTACCTCCACTCCACATGAAATTACCAGTCAGGTAAATAGGGCTTCTGGACCAGCTGGTCCATCTGGGATTGGAAGCTTGAGCCTGAATTCTGCCTTCACTTGGGCTGAATCCATCTGCTTTGCAGTGAGAGTAACCCCAGAGTTGACAGCACTGAGGGGTTTTTCCATCATCATACTCTTTTGTCCAGAAGTGCATGTACTTTATATATATATATATATATAAAATACATAAATCCTATGTAATTTTATATATAAATTACATGTATCTTTATATAAAAATGTTGTATGTCTCTCTATATATATACTCCCCACCTCCACTCACCCCTCCATCCTCAGCCTGGTAGAAAATAATCAATTGTAGTTTAAAATAGGTTCCTGTGATTCAGCTGCCTAAACTCTCCTAGTAGGTGAAGTCCTAACTGATGGAACTGAGGAAGCCACTCAGCTAACCCCACTACAGACACCTCATAGCTAGTCAGCTAAAGCACTCTTCAAGCTCTGACTGCACTGTGTAGTACTCCATTGTCTCTAAAGGGTTTTTAGGCACCAGCATCCTACATCAGCAACTAAATTTTTTACATCTGATCTTAAATCAAGTCCTCCTGCTGTTGACTCACGTTAGTTAGAACAAAGCATCTTGGGTACAACCTTGTACTGTGACTGTTTGGCAAGGGTAGCCTGGATGCTTAGACCCATTGTTGACTAATAAGAAAATTAAAAAATACACTTCAGGGTAAGGTGTTCTGTGATTAGTGAGGTTAATCTGGTATTTCTGTGAATTTTTACTTTGCCATCTGTGACATAGTGATGATATCATCTGCTAGTTTTTCTGGGTTACTGAGGTTGCTGCAAATCCACTTGAGATTCCCAGATGACAGATGCCACAAAATTGTAGACAAGGACTAATTAGTTGTTCTTATCTTCTTGTTGTAGGTGTTGGAATAATAGTAACCAAGAGTCTATTAGTCCGTGCTCATTAGCATTGCTTTATTTTCACATAAGAGTTTTCTGGAACAGTATTTTACAATCCACTCTGGTAAGTATTCCTTCTTTGGTACATGCACAACTCATTTGGAGCACTACCTTGGCTTTGCACTGCTCTAATTATGTTTTTAAAATTACTGTCACAGATCTACTTCGTGGGAACCTTTCTTTTATCGATTCTGGTTGCATTTGCAGTGCAGTATTTTCAGTCTTTATCTGGTAAGTATTTGTCATAGTAAAACTGAAGAAAGAGGAGTGATCTTTTTATTTCAGTAAAAACTTCAAAAAATAAAAGCAGGAATTCTATATTTGGTAGTGGTACCTCTGAACAGCAGCTTCTTTGACACACAAGTCATTTTTTTAATCATTGGAAAGGGGTGGATGAAGTGAGGCAGAGGTTTAAACCTGTCAGTGTCTGGAGAATTTCCCTTGATAAAGGAGATTCTTAATAAAAACATTAACTGCACGAGATTATGACTGGAAATAAGAGATTATTTCCCATCTCTCAACATGCAGTAGTGTTAGAGTAATTCAATTTGATTTCATATGTTGTCTCTGCAATATGCCATGAGACTGTATTCCCTGTTTCATATGACTGGATCCATTCAGATACAAGGAGGGAGAAAAAATAAAAGTAAAGTTCAGAGAGCTGGTACATTGGAGTGACTCAGGAGGAGGCAGTTCAGCCTCTTCAGACCAGTAACAGAATGAGTAAATACATTGTCAGTACTTGCAGACTCCTCGTGTCCTCAACTAGAAAGGTTTGCTGTATGTTCTCTTTCCTGATGGGAGAATATTAAGGGACAGAGAACCAAAGGCCAGACCTCAGTCTCTTAAAACTCTTACTGTATTGAAAGAGGAATCTGAGAGAAAACCACATTGCTCAGAAAAGGGGGGAAAAAACCCCTCTTATCACATGCAAAAATAATGAGTCTTCATTTAAAAAGCATTGCCAGCTTCAACCAAGTGTTTCACTTCAAATTGCAAGACAGGATCTTGATTGCAAAGTTGTGAAATTAATATTACCAGTTAGGAAAATAATTGCTTCCTCTAAATACATTTTCTCATGTTGTGGTTTAACCCCAGTAGGCAGCTTAAGCCTATGTCAGAAAATACTGTTTTCTGACGTACTTCTGTAATAAAATACAGAAAAAATTACTTTCCACATTGGCAACCTACACCTCTAGGGAATAGTATTTAAAAAAATAAATAAGAAAATATTATTTTAATTTATAATTCCTAGACAGCATTGAAGCCATGTAGCTGTGAATAACATGCTGACTATGGAAATAGTTCTGAAACCCTGCTTTCTTTTCGTGCTGGCTATAATTTATGTAACTTGAGAATCATACTACATCTGTACAAAGTATATAGTTAAAGTTACAGATATTCTTCTTTCAATATTTCCTAACCTTTGAACATTATTTTTATATGTGATTTTATATCACATAATATTTAAATATTGATAAACAGACTTCCTAGACACAGTGGCATCTTTTTAAATAATATCTTTTGACATTTTTCTGAAGCCCATAATTCCCCTGGAACAAGATCAGACCCATCATCAGATGAACCTTCTTCCTCAGGGAACAGCACCGAGGATGGTACCAGACTAGTGCAGCAAGATGAATCTTCTTTTTCAAACAATTTAGCACAGCAG